AAAAGAAAACAACAACAACAACAACAAAAAAGACACAGTCTTTGGCCGGGCGCAGTGACTCACGTCTGTAATCCCAGCACTTTGGGAGGCCGAGGCGGGCGGATCACGGGGTCAGGAGATCGAGACCACGGTGAAATCCCGTCTCTACTAAAAATACAAAAAATTAGCCGGGCACGGTGGCGGGCGTCTGTAGTCCCAGTTGCTGGAGAGGCTGAGGCAGGAGAATGGCGTGAACCCGGGAGGCGGAGCTTGCAGTGAGTGGAGACCGCGCCACTGAACTCCAGCCTGGGCGACAGAGCGAGACTCCGTCTCAAAAAAAAATAAAAAATAAATAAATAAATAAACAAAAGACACAGTCTTTGCCCTGTAGAGGCGTATGAGGTATGGAAATCAGGCACGTAGTTATTTACAGGTAAAAACAGAAAAGGTAACAGGTGTGCATGGAGAGCTCTCTGAGATGAGGAGGGACCATCCCTGGGTGGGGAATTATCCAGGATGGCTTCACATAGGAAAAAGTGAGGGGAGTTATTAACCAGTGAAGTGTAGGGCGCAAGGAGAGTGGGACACCGACAGTGGGATGGCAGGACAGAAGGGAGGAAGTGGTCAACATGGCTCCTCTGCAGCATCCCTCATTTAATCACTAAGGGCCTGGGAGAGTCACATGACACAGGCAGTGAGGCAATTGCAGCCATCTCTCTAAAGGGCAACTGGCTTCTAGATGTAGATTGTAATAACCGTTCTTCCTTCCTCACAGGACAGGGAGGTTTGTAAAGTAATGCAGAAACCAGGAAGTGTTGTAAAAAGCCATATGCTCAGTGGACGTGAGAAGGAAGTTGTCCATGTCATTTGCCTCATGAACCACATCGAATGAGATTTAGTGGGAATGGCACACACAGTCATAACCAGACTAACCCCAGCTCTCACCCTATTTCCTCGCGTAGAAAATGGAGGCAATGCCACAACCTCAAAGGGGTCAGTGAGGTAAATACAGTGCCTGGCAACTTGGTAGGTGCCTGGGAACTATTTGTCTGTTGTTTGTATCTTTTTTTGTACAGTCTTAGTGAGACACAAAGGTTGGAATCCTGGCTACACGATTTACTGGCTGTTTGACCTTCAATAAATCAAGCACTCTAAGCCTCTGTTTCATCTATGAAAGGGGAGTGATAATTCCTACCTCAGAGAATTGTTGTGAGGTTTGAGTGTGATAATGTGTCTCTAGTGCACTGCTTGACACTAAACATTGCAATATGTTAGGCCTGTGTTCCTGGAGTTCCTTGAAGGAATGTCTTACTCATTCTAAATATCCTTGTAGACAGCCTGGCACAGGTGTGGCTGTCAAGTTGTAGAAATGAACTAGTTGCTTCACTATGTCAGTATCCACCCCTTCCAGACTTCCTGCTTTTCTTTTTTTTTTTTTTTTTTTTTGAGATGAAGTCTCACTCTGTTACCCAGTCTGGAGTGTAGTGGCCGATCTCAGCTCACTGCAACCTCTGCCTCCTGGGTTCAAGCCATTCTCCTGCCTCAGCCTCCCAAGTAGTTGGGACTACAGGCATGCACCACCATGCCTGGCTAATTTTTGTATTTTTAGTAGAGACGAGGTTTCACCATGTTAGCCAGGCTGGTCTCAACCTCCTGACCTCAGGTGATTCACACGCCTTGGCCTCCCAAAGTGCTGGGATTACAGGCATGAGCCACAGCGCCCAGCCTGACTTCTGCTTTTCAAGGAAACATTGCACAGGATTTGTTCTGGGTAGGGCAGGTAATTATGTAGTACCTTACTTCCCTCAAATTCATTCATCTCACAGATATTTCCTGAGCACATTCCACATTTGCCTTTCCTGCTTTAGTGAGTTTAG